CGACATAGGCTCGGTACGAAGATAAGCATTGGAAGTTCCATTGTGAACAATAAGCTTCAGCAAGTAGAAAAGAAATTCTAGGTTTATGAGAAGATCAAATCAGCATTTGCAGCTGCTGAAGAAAAAGTTATTTAGTGTTGGGTCAGCCTTAATAAAGAACTGGTATGTACCAACTGGCGCTTCTCTAGTAACCAGTGCTTAATTTCAGTAAAGTGGCTAAGATGGCTCCACAAAAAGACTATAGAAAGTGGGAGTGGCTGAAGAGGAAAAGAGAAGGAAGTGGCACGTGACTTCGATAAGGTTCATTTATCCAAGTCTCCTAAGATTTTTGCATCAATAAAGCAGCAGCCTTTAATGTCCATAGAGAAAAGGTTTGATCTCATGATTCTTTATTTTCATACATAGTTAGGACAAAAACATTTTATTCTGTATTCTTTGAAGTCTTTCTCATCATTTTCCTCAAGTAGTGAATGTAGAATAATGCTCCTTTTTAGTCGGATTCGATTGCTTTATAGTGTTGACATATTAAAGAAACTCTCTCTTTCTCTCCCGTCCTCAATGATCTGCTTTTGAAATTATGAATACTTTCTCATCGAGAAAGGAGAAATTGTTTCCAATTGTTCCCATCACATTTTCTGTAGTGCGATCCCAAATCTTTAATTAGTGCACAAAAGAATCCATTAGACGTTTGGTTGTTTAATTAACTTGTTTCTTCCTTTATTCATCAATTAATACCACCATAGATGATCTTCACATTGTTAGCCAGTTTGCTTCCCATCCTTTGGCTGACCGTGAAGATTGGATATTACTGCCAAAGGTGGACGACTTAAGAAACAGCAAACCTAAATAGGACGCTTAGAACTAATTAGATTGATCTTCGCATAAACTAATTAAAGCACAATAGAAATGCTAGTGATTTCATAACTCCAGGCGCCTCTTATACTTTATATGATAGTCATTTTTTCTCATCCATATCTTTGGAACGACGAAAAAGAAGCAAATTTGGTTGGATGGGATTGCTCTCTTTATAGAGAAGCCCCCCTGCATATGCTATGTAGAGATGAAACCTTGACAAAGACTGTTTAAAGATGAAGCATATGTGAAGCCTTCACGAAGAATGTTTCGAAGATATTGTAATGTTGGTAATAAAAGAAATTCGATGCAATGGTGATAGTAGATTTTGAATACCATTCTTTTTTGTTGTTGTACAATTCCACATTTATTGTGTTCTAGTGACTGGTTGGATTGAATTTTCAAAAACATCTGGTTCACAGCCTGATTTTTTGTTGCTCATCTTACTTTTCTCTTTCTAATGCATTTTGATTGCTTTTGTTGTCATGTTCTATGTTTTTGTTTACCTCTATTTCTGTTCTACTTTGCAATGTGCAGTGGTGAACTCTATCAAATTTTCACCTTTTTATGTGCCAAATTGATACATATACATGTACAAATGCGTCTGTGGGATCAATATAATGTGAGTAGTTGCGAATCTTGGTAAATTCAAAGTGAATTTTTTTTCCCCAACTTGGACCAAATCCCAGCACCCATATTGTTAGAATTAGTGTAATTTACTATATTACCCCTAATAGTGGTCGAACAATCAACCTATCTCCTTTAGAGAGTTGAGATACCATCTTGATTAATGTCCATTGGTAGGCATTTTATACTCAATTATTGAATAGATATTGACATTAGAAATAGTTGTGTGGCAAAAGGACAACCTGGATTGTTTGTTATTGTGAAGTCATTATTGAAGTCAATAATGATTGGAAAAAAATATTTATGTTTTGGACCCTTCTAATTCTTTTATCCACATGGAACTGTGGATTGTGATTTGGCAGATAATGTATAAAATTGATTGGTTGATTACTATAAATTCATGGATATATACATACATACATAGTATACGACTGCAAATAAGATAAGAGGAACCCATGGGTTGGGAAAGAGGGGTGAGGAAAGGAATATTATAAAGGTTATTTTGGGAGTTTTGAACCTTCTGATTGATAATATTTTAAAGTAAGCGACAGTTTAAACTCAATTATCAATGAACACTAAGTATAAGCTTTGAGTGTTTGAGTTTCGGTAGGAATAAAATATAACGAGAATGTGTGAGTTTACCTAAATTTTTCAGTGTTCGAGTTTCGATAGGAGCTAAAGATAACAAGAATGTGTGAATTTACTTGAACGTGTTTGAATTTTGGTAGGAACAAAATATAACGAGAATGTGTGAATTTATTTGAACTTTCCGATAGGAGCAAAATATATATAATGATTGGTAAGCCTTATCCATGGTAGTTATTAGTTGGGGGGCTCTTGTGTGAGCTTAAAAATTGCTCAAGTACCCACCAAACCAAACTCATTCACGAGGTCATGTTCTGAAGGCTCCACTCGTCACTATACACACACACACACACACACACACACACACACACCCTAAGTCCATCATTTTCAGTTGAGGGACCACTTTCGAAGAAACTTTTATGTACTGCCATTGTTTATGATGAAGATATATAGGTCTATATAGAGAGACAGTTTGTGTGTGTGTGGTGTTAGTTGGTAATGGCGTAACGTAGACGTATTTGGTTTTGGGTTGCGAAAGCTTCTTTAGGGATTGGTTCAATAATGAAGAGTAACTTAATTACAATCAAACCCTCACTTGCTAAGTTTTCTAGAAACGGGATTCTTTGTGTGTATGCACTTGTACCAACGAATCTGATTCTTTTGGGAACTGGCTCACTCGTATTCTTGATTCTAATAGTGCTTCCCTTTAGAATTGAAACCAAACTTTAGTCAAATCATCTTCTAAACAGTATAACATTTTCGGTTTTATGTGTTTATCTTGTTTAAAACACAAAACAAGTTTAAAATCAAGCCTTACTTAACCCAATCAGTTTTGATTTGACGTATAAGATTATAATATTAGTACTGTAGTCTAATTGTGAAGTTGGGGAGAGGTTGTAAGTTTATATCATCACTGCTATTTTCTAATTAAGTAGACGTATTTTGAAAATTATAAAAAGAGTATAAAAAGTAAATAATATTTGTAAAGCAAGACGAGTGATAATACATATAATTAATTCTCACGATTACACTTTCAAGAACATTTTATCATATTTTTTTTCGTGTTATATATATATTTTTTATGGTTAAAATTTAAATGTAAGTAAAAAAATAAAAGGACAAGAACTATAATGTAGTGATATTCAAAATATTATATATCAAATAAAATTTAATTATAAAAAATAAGCTGGAAATAAAGTGCATTAATGTGTTGACAATTAGAATGGGATGAGAATAGTGAATACATGATAAGAGGAAGACTTGAAGTGATAACGTTGACGGTTCACAGGAAGGGGTGTGTGGTCCCGCGGTCACCGGAATGTATTGCCATGTCATCACTTGAAGCTACTTTACCGGTTTTTTTGTCTTGATTGCGGGACACAAGAGCATCCAAGGAATTGGACCATACCATCAGGTCCATCACCATCACGGCACTAACATAATGACACCTGTTAAACGGTGCCACGTTATCTAATTATACCCTCCGGCATTATCTAAAGTCCAACAAAGCTCCCCAACAAAAAAAAAAAAAAAGGGGGCTTTCATGACCCCACAGTGTAATGAAGGAAACGCGTACTGCTTTTGCCAATCTTACGGTAAAATCTACCACCAAAGGTTTGGTGAAATTGGTACCACCTCACTATAGAACTGTTCTATTTACTACTACGTCACATTTGAAAAAATAATAGAGATAATTTTTTTAAAATGGTGGTTTTATTTCGAGAAGTTATTATATGACCATGGCATGTAAAGAAATGTATAATTTTTTATTTTTATATCAACTAATAATGGATCGATATCAATAATTTTGAAACCTTGTAATTATTTTTGCGATGAACTTATTTTAGAAGTAAAGAAAAAGTATGCAATGATAAAGATAAGTAACTCTTGCCATTTCCTTGCAAGTTCTTTTTATTTTTGGAGATGATAGCCAATAACCTCATAATTTTGCTTTTGGAGAGAGTAAAGGTTCAAACCTACATAAAAAAAAATAAAAGAAAAAGAAAAGAAAGAAGGTTCAAACCTCACTTCAACAAAGGCATTGGTTGTTGTCATTATTATTTGTCTTAATTTCATTTTAAAAGAGATGGGCCAATTATCAATCTCCATTTTTTTTTGTAGCTAATCAAAATGGAATCCACATTCCCTCTCTTATATTAGCATTTTTCTCTCCAACTCTTTAATTCTTTACCCCAATTGGAGGCAGACTTAATATTGTGATTAAGCACCAAATTTATGAGGCTCTCACTAATCTCATGTCCAATTGTTGTCGCACTGCGACAAACATATCCATTAATCTCATGTCCAATTGTTGTTGCACTTCGACAAACATATCCATTAATCTCATGTCCAATTGTTGTTACACTGCGACAAACATATCCATTGTTGCACGAACATGTATATTATGCTACTGTTTGATTCATTTAACTCAAAGTTATAAAAGATCATTACTTAAAAACAAAATTTGCAAAAACGATATTTAGAATTATTAGTCAAATAAAGTTACATGTTATCTGCTTATTTATTCAATCAAAACAAAATATATTTCACAGACAGAATCAAGCTGGCTTTCTAATGAGCCATAACACACCATAGGCTTTATATAATTTAAAAATCACAGAAGCAGTATGCACCCTTGGGGAGTGTGATCCTAGCAGTTAATGACAAGAGCCCAACAGTATCTGCATTCGGCCAACGAATTTCTACTTTTAACAGCTGGAAGTCCAACCCCCAACTCGAGGTGCCAGTAACGGTCCCAATTTCCAGCTGTAATCCAACAAACAACGGCGCATTTTAAGCTACCATGAGCCTCTACGAGAGGCGCAGCTTAGTCAACAAGCTTTTTTTATATTCTCTGCTCTGCTGGTTCTTTCTTTATATTTTGGAACAATTTTTCTGATTTTTGTATATATTAACTGTATTTAGTACACTAGTAGTATTCGTAAGAATGAAATATATTATACAGAGGCAACAATATTACATGCTATCGCGTATACACGTGCGAAAAATTACACACATACGAGCTCCACCGACGGAGGACTCGTACCTGCAAACTCAAAAATACAGAGGGATAGAGAGAGAGAGAGAGAGAGAGAGAGGGAATTTAGAGAGAGAAAATCACAGAGAAACCTAAAATGCCGACTAGAAATCGCCCATTTTCCGGTGGAATCGATACTCCGGAACACGCTTTCCGATCTCCTGCAAGTTTCTGAGGCTCCGAATCGCCAAAACATCGCCCTTTTTCACCTCCAAAACTCGTCCGAAATCGTCACTCTCTGTCAAATCTACAGAACAAACACAAAGCACAGAAATTAAAACACATGATTAAGCAACGAAAGCACTGAAAAGCTTGATTTCAATCTGCATTATACCTAGAGGCTTCGATAGTTGATTGAAGTCGTTGAACTGAGCAGCTAAATCTGAAGAAGCAAAAGAATTAGAATCAAATGGATAAACAGAAATGCATGCTTGTGTGTGCATATATATATAATTGTTGATTTTGATTACCTATTTGAGATGGATCGTGAGAGGAGAGGTAGAGGACGAGGAAGCAGACGACGACGAGGAGTGGAATGGAGTGTACAAATCTCTCTGGTTTCAAAGTCGATTTGTGAGGTTTCTGTGACTTGTTGTCTTCATCGTCGTTGATGAGTGAGGACACTTGGTCCTTTCGGTTCTGGTCCTCTACTGTGAGGTTCTCTTCCTTCACTGCTCCTCCTCCTACTCCATGATTGTGGAGCTTCGATCCTGGTGAGCCCAGAGACTGCCTGTGCATGTTCGATGTAGGGTGAGAGAGAGAGACGGTAGTGTGTGTGCTAGGGAGAGAGACAAGTGCCTGTTGTTGGTCTGGGTTTTAATAGCCTCAATTTGTGTCTCTTTCTTTATTTATTTATTTATTTAGAAAATATAATTTTGAGTGAAGGGAATATTAAGAGAAAATTTACTTATTTATTTTTTTTTTAGACAAAAACACTCTCTAAAGATTTAAAAATATACACACTCCTTTACATGAGAAATTGACCAAACTATCCTTTAACCATTTAAAAGACCTTTTTAATTTTATAATTTAATAAATTTGACCAATTTATCTTATGAGTAATTTATGCATAAAAAAAAATTTAAAAAGTCTCTTCTCTCCCAATAGTTTAGAACACAAGAGTCTGGCCCATTCAAGAGTGACCAACTGATACCTTTACTCTCACACTGTGTGTGGTCCATGTTTATAACACAAGAGTCTGGCCCATTCAAGAGTGATCAACTGATACCTTTACTCTCACAGTGTGTGTGGTCCATGTGGATCCCAATCAAAAAAAAAAAAAAAAAAAAGCATTGCGAAGCCAGCTCTGGACACTAAAATTGATTGTGTACAACCAACTTCACTTGATTAAATTCTCTTCCTGACTTGATGATGTTTCTTATGCTGCTTGAACAGATTTGGGTTTTCAGCTAGATTTGCAAAACAGATGAGAAAATTTAAAATTGAAATGTGTTGTGAACACAGAGAACTGGATTTTGGCTTTATTTTTGACAATTATGTAATTGTCTTACATTTAAAATTATATTCACGCTTTATTTTTGAAAGAACACTCAATATATTTATTTATTATAAACAAAAATAGGGGTTAGGGACAGTGATGTCATTTTTAATTTTTTTTTTTTTATGCATAAATTGTTCGTGAGGGTAGATTGGTCCAATTTATTAAATTATAAAGTTAAAAAAGCCTTCTAAACGGTCAAAGGATAATTTGGTCAAATTTTTATATAAAGGAGTGTCTTTGTCCATTTTTGAACCTTCAAAGGATCTCTTTGTCCAAAAAAACAAGTAATTTTCTTCCGAGTATCCTTTGTAAGTTTCTTTTGAGTGTCCTTTTATCAAACCTCAGTGAGTATGACTATATTTTACCTTATAATTTTTTATAATTTTATATTTCTATTTATCTAAAAACAGTAAATTATTTTTAGAGTTATAAATGAAGCACACTCTAAATTTTTTTTTTTGCCCAGTTAAAAAAGTAATGAAAATTTACCCCACTATGATAATTAACACATTTTGTGCATAAAAAATTGTATATTAAATTGGTCTAGTCATATATTTATACGAATATTTCTCTTGTATATCCCTAAACAAAAAAATTTATTCACAACAACTATAACTTTGTTGGGTATGATTCAAGGGTAAGAAAGGTGATTATATATATATAAAAATAATAATCATATTTAATGATGATATACTTGGTCTGTATAAATGTTTTGCCCACTCACTTATAAAAGAACAAACGGATTTATCTTAAAATTTTCCAATCTCTATTTCGATTATACACCTTTAGCATTAAAATAAATAACTCAAAATAAAATCTGTTAAAATAAATAACTCAAAACAAAATCATAGGAACTAATTAAAAATGAAACTTTGATTTGGTTAAAAAGATTCTGTGACAAAGTTTTAACACAATGTATGGCAAGATAAGACTTGATACATTAGAATTAAGGTTTTATTACAATGTATGATAAGATAAGACTTGATACATTGGAATTAAGGCTATGTTTGGTAGAGTGACAAAGTAAAAAAAAAAAGAAAAAGATAACATTACTTACAAGAGAAAAGAAATGAAAGAATAGTGTTAATCACTTATTTAATGAAAGAAAAGAAATGATAATAACTATATTTGGAGAAAGAAATGAAAGAAAAATATTTTAATAAATTTACTACCATAACATTTTTTCTTCATATATTTTGTCTAGGAAGGTATTAATAATTTTTTATTAAAAATACGTAATCATTTTTAGAAGATAACAAAATTAACTCATCAAATCCTTCCATTCCCAATTTTATACTAAAGAGAAAAAAAAAAAATCATCTCTCTCCATCTATTTTCTTTCCATTTCTTTCCAAAACTGGGCCTAAATATATTTGTCAGATGAAAAGCATCAGAAGAAAAACGATGATGGTTATAGTCAGCGAAGCTCAACTTGCTCGGTCCAATCATAACCCGAAGTTTGGGCTTGATGTCAGCCCAGACCATCCAGATCGCTTGGTTTAGCTGAGTTTCTGGCCGAAAGACTGGACTGGGCCCAATTTCAGTAACCAAACATCCCTGACGACGTCTGCGATAGCGTCACAGAGCGGTGACTGTAGGTCTTTGAAGATCGAAATTTCTGGGTTCTTTCAAATGCATCGGTGGTGGTGACTTGCGAGAAACGAAAACTGAACCGAATCAGAGAGAGAAAACCTAGAGAGAGAGATAGCGTGAGAGGAGAGTTTGATAGAAACAGAGTTTTAGAGAGAGAGAGAGAGAATGGTGCTATGGGAGATCACATTGGGAACGGCTTATTTCTTGGGTCTGAAACGAACTTACAGGCTTGCTCTGAAGATTCAACGTCGTCTTATTAGCCCTAAGCGTCCAAAGATCCGCCAATTTGTTCAGGGGTATCTCTCTAGAATCTATTGTTGATTGCTTCATCTCTTCGATCACTTGTATCGTTTTTAGGTATTTGCTATAGACTATATGTGATCAATTTTTATTTATTTATTTTTTGGTTGATTGATAATTGATACTGACGTTATCACTTAGTAATACGAATATCATGGTATTCGTCTTACTGAGACGACGACGACGGTTGAATCTTAAATAAAAGTTTTGACTATTAGGGGCATGGATTTGAAATAAGTCATGCAACCTAACATTAGACTGTCGGACAAGGTTCTGATGAGATTGGTCACTGCCATTTGCAATAGGGCATGTTTAATTTAGTATTTGATGGAATTAATTGGTTGACCAAGGTTTCATGAATGGATCAAGGTGATTATGGACACCTATTTGGCCTAGAGACAATAAGTTGTTTGTGTAGTATACTTGGGGTTTATTAGGAATGGACATTAGAGTGGTTGGACGTTTTGGGTCTTTGCCTAATTGTATGGAAGAAGAAATAGTAAACCATAGAGCTCATGTTAGTTGACTAGAGCATGAGCTTATATCAACACCCAATTTCAAGTTGATCGTATGATGATTTTTCAGTACTAATGTCTTCAAAATAGTTTTGATTACTGAAAATCTTCCATCCTCAAAACATCTAAATATGCTTAATATGTTTATGAAACATGTGAGTTGTTACTAGATTTGGAATAACAAAATTAGTCCAAATAAATTTACCAAACTCCACGTTGATTCTTACTACATTTCATTCTTCTTTCATTCATACTTTGCTAACTCGTCCTCAACTTCATTATTTAAACTTGAAGAAACATGAAATGGGATCTAATCCGTAGCTGCCAATGATATCCAAATTGTCATATTAGGAGTGGTAATGCCTTTTTTTTTGGGTAAGCAAGAACTGTTAACGAATTATTTCCAACTTCTAATACATCCCTTGTATAATCTGGCCACAAGCTACTTTGTTTTCCGTGATTTTCAAAGTGATTTACCTACAAGAGCTTCATCTATTCAGGGATGTGGATCATTTTGCCAGTCCTTTTGTATCTTTCCTGCACAAACCATGTCCTAGTCCACGAGGTGATATGTAAACTCACTTTTTAGTTTTCCACTTTATAAAAAAAACATTTCTGTTGATGGAATAACTTTGTAGTCATTGACCTTTTGATCATAACTAGGGATAGGTAATAGGCAGGGAGGTTGGCAAAAAGAACTTCTAAAATGGGCTAATGTGACCTCTAAACCTATGTGTCCTTTTGAGGTTGTGGCCTCCTCACATCATCTCAACATTGGATTCAAATCAAGAAAAATTTGGAAGGGCCATTTAGAGATAGTTTTTGATCTTGCTCCACAAGTATGTACGTTGCAGTATCATATTTATTGGATGTGGATTTGACACAGGATGAACACATTGGCATGTTAAATTCTTAGACATTGCGACACAAGTAGGTGAGGCTATGACAGTAGTATATATACATGCATATAAACGCAAGTGTACATCTGTACATGACAATTCATCTTCTTCCTACCACTACCCTTCTTTGTTTCAAACCTTTTTCACATTCTCATTTGTGCTTTAAAACTTTAAATCTTTTGACCTAAATGCAAGATGTCAGTCAGTGATGGTGATAGCACATTTCTGGTAAACATTGATTCCATATGATTAGTTGCATGCTCCGATAAAGCCATTGTTGAAACACGGAGTGGATGTGTTTGCTTGTGCAATGCCCATGGCAATTTTCTTAATTTGGCTGACTTCACCAGCCAAGCATACTGAAGAATGTGTTTCTGTCTCGAAAACCTCTTCATATGTAAACTAGCTTAATAAATTTCTACAACTGCTTATTCTTTTTTGTTATATTGCTGCTGCATATTCTCTCCCGTTGCAAATATATATGTATATATAAATTTGTTGTTTCAATAGAAAGTTAAACTAGTTTTCCATTTGATAGACTTCATAGAGGTGTCCAGATCTGCTACAGAGGTTGCTAGACTGACTTTGGATTTCTGTCATTGATGCTGTTGGTTTATCGATCCAAGATGCTAGTGCATAAGTTTGTTTTTGTCATTTTCACTTGCATTGGAAGTGGATCTACTCATTACCTTGTCTTCCTCTTTTTCATAGAGGGAATGCCCTCTTCTCATTTGTACTACAATTTCTATGTGGTTAAATGATATATACCAACCCATTCATGAAGGTTTGAAACAAGATTCTAATGCCTATAGGCCTGCTAATGCTGATGTCAAAGATCATGTGTGCCTCCTTCCTTCATTCCATTAATGGATCGGGACTCTTTCCTCCGGCAAAAAAGTGATTTTAAACATGCAAGGATTTGTGAAAATCCTTATATAAAATAATTCTTCTAGCAAGTTTCTGATGATACATTGCTGATTATTTTATTTTTACATGGAATTAGCACTCAAAAGAATTATCTGGATCATGGTTAACGTCTAAAACTTTTAGGAAAGTATTTTTGTTCTTAGCAAATGTGGTTCTTTTTCTGCTTGCTTGACATACTTGCAATATTGCATGCATTCGCATTTGGACCATTCTATTATTAAACTTCTTAAATTTGCTAATTAATGCAACAAAACTCTAGACGGTCTTGCTTCATGCTCTTGCACCACTGGTGTTGTTGCACGTCTTTTTTAATTATCATTGCTACACTTAAATGTGTATGTTTTTTTCAAATAAAAAATCAAATGACTTAAAACTTCTTATGTTTGTATTGCCTCCACAGACGAACACGTGCTATATTTGATGTGGCCCTCAGGGTTCACCAGGGCATACAAGAAAGAGACATTGAAGTCGGTCGCAATCTTGGCAACTGGATTCTGCGGTGGCTAGACAAGATGAAACCATCGGCTCAGATCCGTGGTATTTCCCCTGGTAAACCGCCTTCAGGTGGTCATGTAAACGCAGACATGACAAAGCAGTTCACCAAATCCTCTCACCAGAAAACTAGAGGGGAATTTCAGAAGTTCAGTGGAAAAAGCATCGATCGAGAATCTGATAGGCATCTATTTACCTCATCGAGGCGTTCATTGCCCGATTCTTTCCCCTCCGTTGCAATGATGATGAGGCCAGCAAAGCCATCTGGAACTAACATCCAGTATAGGCAAATGTCAATCTGTGGCCCCGAGACATCGAGATTGAACTATGGAAGACCAGGCTTTCAGGGAGTGATCCGGAAGGACATCATGCAGTGGATGCTACTGAATTAGTAGATGGGATTTTATTTGGTACTCTTTGCTTTTTCTTTTTCCATTTTATGTTATCGAGATCAGAAGTGGCGTGGTCAAATTTTGGAAGATGCAGATCTAAGGGACTAAGTTGAAAAGGACATAATGTTGTTGGATGCCCCAAAAATGTTGTAGGATGCCTTTTCTGGCTTTGTTTCTTGTTTATTTTCTTCAGATTGTGCATACTTTAAACCTTCTGCTTTTTCTCTGATGTTTTTTTTGCCTTTTCTTTTGAGCTTACTTTGCTAGAACTATCAATAACCAGAGATCACACATATGATTTCATTGTTAATTTTTTTTTTTTTTTTTTTTTTTTTTAACTTCAAGTGTGTCTCTGTTATAGATCCTGATATTATTTACCAATTCGGTTATAAATTGGATAACCTCTGATCATCAGTGACAAGTTTGCATAGTCCATAGCATTTCTTGGCAGGGTAAGAACTTGTGGGAAGAGAATGATTAAGATTGAATAAATTCCTGTTTGCAGGTGCTATTACATGACCAGTTATTAGCTTAATTTTTTGTCATGTGACCTGCAATGTTGGATTAACTTTCTTTGAGCAATAGGTCTTTATATTCTTACCATGTAGCTATTTTGTTGATACTAGCTGAATATATCTGCAAGAAGGGTTACCCCAAATGAAACAATGGGCTAGTCCCTAAAACTTCTATTGGAGTGTGGACTAGAATATCATTCACCACTAGGTCACTCTCTTGGTAAGCCTATCCTATTCCATTTGTACAATGTATACGATGAATTATTTCATATGATTTTCATTTGTGCTTTCAGCAAGTAGGCGATGCGAATCTATGCTTTCTATAGTTCAATCGGATACCAATTGTGGATGCGGATGTAAGCCAAGTGGATCAAGGCAGCAGAGTCGTGAATCCACACCATGCATGTGCGGTTTCAACCACCCCTTGTTGTTCCAGAGACACAAGACAAAGGTACAAAGAATTTTTTCTGCAAGTGATCGATATACTCAAATGACGTTTGATATTTTTGCTCTTTTCTGTTGAGAGGCTCATTGGCACAATGGCTGGCTATATAGTATGTATGAATGTCCTGATTTTGATGTTCCTCCTGTTACCAAGGCTTGTTAACATTCCTTTGCTAGTTTCCCAAGTTTGCTCATTTGTAATGGTATACACTAATTTATATACGCTGGTTACTATATATATAATGGTTGTAATGAGGCAGGACTTAATGCTTTCAGGCTTGGAATCATCAAACATACTAAAATCACCAATCACCGAGGAACAACTTCATCCACTGTTTATATACTGAAATCAAATGTGTTTAATTTCACTAACACAATTAAGCAAAATGAGTTCTTTTCTATATACAGGTGGCTGTTGCATTTGTAAACCTAGAAGAGATCGAAGAAAAATAAATACGGCCCCGAAAAATTTGGTATTATCGTGAAAGAAAAGCCTCACTTTCAAACTGAGATTGAGGCTTATCGATGCAAGACTCGGCTCCTAACTGGGAAAATGGCTGCTTACGGTTGAGTTGAATCGGCGCCTTCTTAGGCTTCTGGCATTTTGTTTGTTGAATTGGACACATCTCTCTGGCTTGTAAAGATATTTTCCAACCTGTAACAACATGTGTTCACAAAGATTAAATTTCAGGAATTTGTTTTCCGAATAACTTACTTATGGAGGAAAATTTACTGGTTAATTATGCACAATTGCTCTTGTACGTCTACAAAGAAGATAGTTGTTTTCCACTTGATAACTACAGCATAAGTTATTTATGTAACAATTAATAGGCATAGCATAGGACGGATTTTCATAAGCAAGAATGAAACCAAATTTTTTAGACTTAATCTATTCTACCTTTTCAGGGTTTATAATAATTTAAACCTAATCAACACATTAGAATATATGTGCTATATAACATGTAACAATTGATACTCAACCAATATTTGTGAAGTTGTGAACATCAAAGTGAAAAATTGCCCAATATTAACATATTCAACTGCATTTGACATCTCTTGTCGCCTCCATTTTGGATCTCATAAACAGTAAGAAAAATGTTTAATATGGTCATGAGTTCATCTTTATTAATTATTTTTTAATTTTTTTTAAGCATCGAAGAACTATGAGGATGTTCTAAGAAGCTTAACACCACCACGATCATCGTTTCCAAAAAAATAATAACAAAAGAAGAACAAAAAAGCAATTTCCCATAACCCAATGGATTGATTGCCTAAAACAATTCACTCACACATACATGTGCATATATATATATATATATATGAGAGATTGAAAAGGAGGTGCTATTAAAATGAAACAGGACAAGAACAAACACAAAGCATACCTCAGAAATACCACTTCTCAAACCCAGGAATTGTCAAAAGCAGCTGAAGTCATAGCCTGAGAGAACTCCTGAAAGCTAATCCGGCCATCGCCGTCAGTGTCGGCCTCACGGATCATTCCGGTGAGCTCCTCCGCGGTCAGAGCATGTCCAAGCTTGGCCATGGAATGAGCCAACTCTGCAGCTGTAATGTACCCATTTCCATCTCTATCAAACATACTAAACAGTTGATGAAGTTGTTCCTCACTGTATGGTGATTTATCGGAGAGAAGCTCCGGCGACACCAGGGCGATGAACTCTGAGAATTCGATGAGGCCATTGCTGTTGGTGTCAGCTTTCTGTATCAGGGTTTCGAGCTGATCTGGACTCGGTTTTAGGCCGAGTGAGCGTAATAGTGATCCCAGCTCGAGCTGTGTGAGGCTGCCATCGTTGTTTCGGTCGAATGATCCGAAAATTTCTCGCAGCTCGGCTAGCTGCTCGTCGTCAAACTTCACTGGTTCCTTACTGGTCATGTTTGCAACAGACCCTTCTTCCAACTCTCTCTCTCTCTCTCTCTCTCATACACACAATTCTAAATAAAATCAGAGTCCTGCAAATCTATTATCTATATGTATACACATCTATAACAATATCCTGATTTGAGATAGATCTTTCAATGGATATGCAATTCTATTAACGTTCTCTTTGGAAACCGATCCAAGAAAATTTTCTTTTCTACCAAACACTGTAGATTCACCCAAGAAACAAGATCCGAGATATAGTTGGACTTTGTTATTCCTCCATTTTCGATGGATCATTCAAAAAACCTGCAAATCTGACTGAATATTTGGATCAGATTGAACAGGAAGTTGGAAATTGATGCCACTTTGTCTTCAAATGAAGAACTTAACACGTAATTGAGAGAATTTTGTGCCAAGTGTGTTGAATATTGAATTCGGTTGGGACAATACTCTTCACTATTTGTTTACAAGTCAACACCAAAACCACCGCCACCTAAGACATGATTGTGACTCTCTCTTCTTTCTTTCTTTCTTTTTTTTTTTTTTTTTCTCTCGGGAAAACTCTTTAGAGGTCGTCATTTTAGACTTTGGTTAACAGCTTTTTAAAATCTGACATCTAGCCGTTGAGAGAAGGGGTGGGTCTCTACAATCGTTGCCTTTTTGTGTTGTTGCAACTGGATTGTTTCTTCAAATCATGTTCTGCCAATACAATGGGTAACATAGAAATGATGTGAATTTTGTTATGGTATTAGTGTTTAATCCATCTCACGATAAAATTGGACAACCAAGAGATTAGATAGCCACAAAATGGGTGACTGTCTAAAATATCCCTATTTTATAATTAAAAATAATAATAATAAAAAATCTTTAAAAAGTTAGATGTTACTGTGAGAAATGTAATTTTTAGTTGGCAAATTTCTTTTTACTCTAGTTCAATATATAATCTAGGTACATATGAGGGATATTTTTATTTTTCACCATTAAAGCTTTTGAGAGAGTTTTTGACTGTATGATCAACAACAGACAAACCTCGGTGATTGTAAGGAAGGGAAGTTTAATCACTTGAAGAAGCAGATCAATTTTATTTCAGATGAATGGTGTTGCCCATATTTTCACGAAGAGGATCATGAAATTAATTGTAAGGTGATCAAATTATGGAGCACACCAAGTATTTAGAAGACCAAAAGTGCAATGATGACAAACAAAATTTGCTACAGAATTTTGAGTTACAAACTCTTCCACCAATCTAGGAGGTTAATGCTAGTGATTTAGAGGAATTCAATTTACGTGATAAGGGTGGTGAATTCCGATCCTTTGGGAAGGAAGGGGTGATATTACTATGCTATTCGGTCCTTTGATAAAAGGGTGATAAATTCCATCACATGACGTCATAATGACATTCTATAGCTGAATTCGATCTTTAAATTATCATTCAAACTTGATTGTGTTTTTAAAAGTAATGTTTATGTAATAAGAATTTAATAGAAAAATATGTTAAGGTGAGTCTTCTTAATGAAAATTCAATAGTTAATTAACATTCGCACCATCACCCCCCAAAAAAAATGTATACCTTTTTATTTTTGGGTGTCTCAAAATAAATATCTCAATTGAAAATTCAAAGTATTATTATTATTATTTTTTGTAATATTATCAATTTAACCTTCTTGAACAACTAAATAATCACATCCATGTGAACCCATTATGAATATTTTGATAATTCATTTACTATCACTATAATAAAAAAAAAGTACTAAAAACTCATCATCTTAAAAAGTTAAATTTCCTAAAAGGGACATTTAATTTATGACAGAAAGAGTGTTATATACAAATTTCAAACCATAATCCATAATGAGGCTCGTGTATTGAAACATTACGCATGGTGCCCATCAAATATAGAGATGAAAGGGTTTAAAGATCTTATTTATAAAGAATATACAAAATATGGGGTAAGTGCAAAAAATGAAGTATACATTTCATAGTATTTTTACCCCATCTAAAGGTGTGCAAAAAATATTCCAATTCTTTTTAATTTGTGCAAAAATACCCCTTAATTAATATAATGCCTATTTTACCCTTTTACTCTTCCAAAAATACCCCTGCCAATCCTTACGCCCCAAACCGCAGCCCCATCTCTTACATCACCACCTTATCTGCGGCACACAATCCTCAACCTCCGCCCCCCTCTCTCTCCACCCACCACCGCAACCTCCACCCCACAACCCCCGCCCACCATTAGATACACAACCTACCAAAATTACACAACTCAAACCTCCCATCATCATCTTCAAGGTTGAACAGATAGCCCATGGTGGTGGTGATGAGTAGTGGTGGTCGTGGTTGGGAGAGTTGGTAAGAGGTGGAACAATTCGACGACGTCAATGGTGCAAGAGACCAAGAATCGATGCCGTTTTAGGATCCATCGATAGCTTTGATGAGGGAGAGGTCGAGAAAGGTTGAGTCGTCGTCATCGTCCTCAGCGGTGGTGGCTCGTTCTTCGGCGGTGAGGAGCAGACAAAATCGGAGCTCCGGCTTGCCAGAGCGGCGATGTTGAATCTGGATATGGCGGACTGGATGTGGAGAGCCTTTTTGCTGAAAGGATGGGATCTAGACTACGAGGCAGCGAATGTGTTCGGTGGTGGAGGATCGAGATCAACTGATATCGCCAGTTTGAAGTTTCCGGCGACGCTTATGTTCGTCGGAGGTTTCGAAGACGTCAATGGTGCAAGAGACCAAGAATCGATGCCATTTTGGGATCTGTCGATAGCTTTGATGAGGGAGAGGTCGAGAAAGGTTGAGTCGTTGTAATTGTCATCGTCCTCAGCGGTAGCGGCTCGTTCTTCGGTGGTGAGGAGCAGACAGAATCGAAGCTCCAGCTTGCCAGAGCGCCGATGTTGAATCTGGATTTGGCGGACTGGATGTGGAGAGCCTTTTTGCCAGAAGGATCGGATCTAGACCACGAGGCAACGAATGTGTTCGGTGGTTGAGGATCGAGATCAACTGATATCGCCGGTTTGAAGTTTCTGACGACGGTTATGTTCGTCAGAGGTTTCGATTTGTTGCAAGACAAGCAGAGAAGATACTACGAGGGTTTGAAAAAGTGTGAGACAGAAGTGAATTGGTGGAGTATCCAAATGGGATCACTGGTTTATATAGATTTCCGGATTTGCCTGAAATTGCTTTGCTAGTTGGGGAAGTAAAGGATTTTATTCAAAAGCAATCAGCATCGGAATAAAATACTCTTTTTTATTTTTTTCTGGTAATTAGAATGAAATAATCTTTGTAAGAAAGAAGCTTGTGAAAATTCCAAATTTGTTGAATTTGTCGGTCAGAAATCTGGGTTCTTGATTACAGTAGGCTGAATTGGGTTGTCATCTTCTCTTCCGGCAAATTGTGGGTTTTTTTAGCTACCTTTTTTAGTCATTTCGCAATATATTAATTAATTATATATATATATATAATTAAATGTGTACCTAAGAGTATTTTAGTCATAAATGTGTGCGTAGGACCTATTTACACAAATATCATAATTTAGGGTATTTTTTGTACGTAAAAAGTGCAATATGCACTATAAACATACTACATGAGTGTTTTTTTTGTACCTGACCCTACAAAATATGTAGTGATTGTTTTTGGAATCAACTTTGAAATCCAGTTATTAAGTGTTGAGCATATGATTGGAAAGTGTTTTTTAGTCTATACTTGTAATTGCACAAATTAAAAAAAAAAGGGGCAAAGAGTACTGAACCCGACGTGAATCGAACACGCAACCTTCTGATCTGGAGTCAGACGCGCTACCATTGCGCCACGGATCCCTCCTTGTACTTGCTCAACGCAATAACAGTACTAGTTTAAATCCACTGTACAGGTGACGCATTTTGTTTAAAATTGAAGCGTTTTATTATCATCTTGGAAAATTGAGCAACGAGTATTTATAATGGTTAAGAAGGCCTTTTAATCCTCAATAAGACGATAAAGTTAGCATTTTTTTTTCTTTTTCTTTCAATAAATGTCATTTTAGTTTTAAAACTCTCAAAATCTCTATTTACTTTAATAATTTGCAATTAAATTTTTTAGGTTTATAAAACATCTATAGCCAAATTTTGTTTTTTCCCCTAAAAAATATTCATTTATTCTCTAAATTAGATATATAATTTTTATTTGAAAAGCATTTCAATAGTTAATTTTCTCATATTCTATAAGACTGATTATTAAGAAATGACATGCAGAAGTAAGACTTTTTATGAAATGCTAGGCTAGACTGGGTACTCCGTATGAGAGTTATTATTATTATTTTGGGTAAAGATTAGTAGTATGAGATTTTTTACTAAGTGTTGACTTTTTTTCTTTGTGTGTTAGAATTGCATAAAATCTATATATATAAATATAAGGTTCGTCCTTGCTTACGTAGGCTCGCTCAATTAATTAGCTATACAATCTCTCCATTAGACTTTACATGAGGCCGTTCCATTAATATTTTATTGGATTTGTAAGCTCTATTATTTATGTTTCACCAACTAATCCATTTTATAATTAGTAAGATTAATTTTATTTGTGTGTGTGAGAGAGAGAGAGAGAGTGAGAGAGAGAGCAGTGAGTGGCTTGAATTACACGAAAATGATCCTACCTAATGTGGAAAGAGAACTCGATCTTAATTGCAATATTTAAAAAGTTGGATCCTTTTCATGCAATTATTTTTGTGCCTTGCTCTTGCAACCAACTCCTTTTTGATTTTGTTGACAATGCTATTTGGGCAGGAAATGTGGCGATAACGTGGCAAGATGAAGAGAGCTCGGCAATGGTGATGTGGCAAGAAGTTATTTTAATTTCTAGTGCAATAGTAGTTTCTCAGCATTTAATTCGATTTTAGTAATTATCATAACTTTTCATTCTCTTCATTCTCGCTTAAGATTTATTCTGTTTTATTCTTTACAATTTATTCTTCTTTTAAAGTCATGTTCTTACCAAAGGCAAGGCAAATTCAGCGTAGAGAGTTTTATGTTCTCTCTCATTCATCGCCTGTTTTATTATATTCACAAAAGAGACACAGTTTGACTAAGATCTCTACAAATTAAACCAGCCCATTAATTTTGACATGCCCACACTGACTTAGCCGATTTAAGGATCAACAAATTTACAATAAATTGTATATATTAAGTGTCAATGGAAGAAGACACACTGACACACATGACACATGTATGTATATATATATAATATTTATAATTATATGTATGTGAAATGCACAGTAAACGTCTTGAATTGCATTTGTACGTAATATTACATGCACCCACTATTTTATAGTGTTAGTTAATTTGGGGTTTCAAATCACTTTGATCAGAAGAAACTTGTAACTAAAGTAGAACAGAGAAAAGTACTTATATATATACATATATATATATGGTGTACAAGGACATAATCAAAGAGTTTCATATATATATAAAATGGGAACTCTGCAAGAGAAGTTTACATGCATGAAGAAGTCTTTCATTATAAAAAGACAGCTTTGATACTTTATCATAAGCTGCCTTGATAAGAAATAAACATATTTCCTCTGAATTTGAGAATTTGATACAAATTCCAATGATATCCAACAATACTTATCTCCTCACCCGATAAATTTAAGATATGTTAAAATAAAAAAATAATGTCTTAATTTTTCCTCTATTATATTTTAAATTCAAAATCGATAGTGTCATTA